AAATTACCCATTACAGCACTGCCATGCCAGTGTGGCTCAGTGGTTGAGTGTTGACCTATGCAGGAGGTCGACATATGCAGCTGATCCCTGTTGATGTTTCTCATTGATTTTTTTTTTTAGTACCACTTTTTTTTTTAATTCTCCATTGATTTTTAGAGAGAGTGGAAGAGAAAGGGAAAGACAGAGAGAAACATTGATATGAGAGAAACACATCAGTTGGTTGCCTCCTGCAGGAGCCCAACTGGGGCCTGGGCAGGGGAGGAGCCTACAACCAAGCTCTTGACCAGAATTAAACCAGGGATTGTTCAGTCCACAAGCCGATGCTCTATCCATTGAGCCAAACCAACTAGGGCTCACCACTTTCTTTCTCCTTTTTTTTTTTTTAATGATTTTTAGAGAGAGGAAAGGAGAGGGTTAGAGAGATAGAAACATTGATGAGAGAGGAGCATCATCAACCAGCTGGCTGCCTTCTGCACGCCCCCACTTGGTAATTGAGTCTGCAACCTGGACATATGCCCTGACCCCAAATCGAACTGGTGACCTCTTGATTCCTGGGTCAGTACTCAACTGCTGAGCCAGACCAGTTGGGCTCACATTGATGTTTCTATCTCTCTCTCTCCCTCTTCTTTCCTCTGTCTCTAAAAGTCACGCCTGGCTGGTCACAGTTCCATCCCTGGTCAGGACATATGCCCAGGTTGCCGGCTTCATCTCCAGTGTGTGGGGTGTGCAGGAGGCAGCTGATCAATGATTCTCTCTCATCATTGATGTTTCTGTCTCTCTCCCTCTCCCTCTCCCTCTCCTCCTTTCCTCTCTGAAATCAATAAAAAAAACATTATAAAAATCAATAAAAATATATTTTAAAAATTTATCCACTACTGATAAACTGTTAATCTCTCAATGTATAACTTTATATTCTGCATATATTGTGCACACACAATTTTATATATGTATACACACTTTTTGGATATATGTTTTTTAAACTGGGGCAGTCTTTTATATCCTTTTTACACTTAGTATTATGAATATATTTCCATGTCATTTAATGTTCTTTTACATCTTTTGTTTTGTTTTGTTAATCCTCACCTGAGGGTATCTTTCCATTGATTTCTAGAGAGAATAGAAAGGAGGGGAGAGACATGAGAGAGACACAATGGCTGCCTCCTGAACATGCACCTTTCCAGGGCCGGGGATCGAGCCTGCAACTGAGGTTACATGCCCTTGACCAGAATTGGACCCGAGACCCTTCAGTCTGCAGGCCAACAGTCTTACTTACCACTGAGCCAAAGTGGGTAGGGCTACATCCTCATTTTTAATTGTTACATGGTATTCTGTTTGTATTATTTATTTATTTATTTATTCTGTTTGTGTTGATGTACATCATTTATGTAACTATTTTTATACTGAAATTTTAGATTATTCCTTATGTTTCACTCTTAAAAACCTGACTCCAGTGAATCTTCTTGCTGCTGAGTCTTCATGCCCATGTGTGATCCCTTAGGATTGATTCCCAGGAGAGGACTGGTTGGCTTAAGCAGCGGTTCTCAACCTGTGGGTTGTGACCCCTTTGGCGGTCGAACGACCCTTTCACAGGGGTTGCCTAAGACCATCCTGCATATCAGATATTTACATTACGATTCATAACAGTAGCAACATTAAAGTTATGAAGTAGCAACGAAAATAATTTTATGGTTGGGTCACAACATGAGGAACTGTATTTAAAGGGCCAGAAGGTTGAGAACCACTGGCTTAAAGTGAGGACTTCAGTTGTGAGAAGCTGGGATTGTTTGGTCAGAGGCAGAGGCTGGTGGAAGACAGTGGGACAGGACAGATAGAAAAGAGTAGCAGTTATTAGGGTTTTGGTCAAGGAGAGTCCAGGTTAAGTGAAAAGTGATTGATATAAATAGGAAGGGAAAAGCCAGCAGGTGCCTGTCATCACTGCTGGTTTCCATGACTGCCATGTTTGAAAGGGTAAGAGAGGACCCGACTAAGCTTGAAATGTTGTGGGGATAGAGATCCATCCTCAGCCCAGCTCCCCAAGGCTTTCCCAAGAGTTTGTGGGAGAGAGGAGGTTTCTCAAGGCCAGAGGCTCCAGTGCTCTCAGTCCTTTGGGGATCTGAAAAGACTCTTCTGTTGCTCTGAATTAAGGCCTTCCCTTTGGCTTGATCCCCAGGGGTCCACCCTGGACAGTCCTACTACTAGCTACATAGAGACCATCAGGTGTAGTCAGTGGGCATTTCCTCTGACTCTGGGAGCCAGATTGTCAGCCTCCTTTATTGTGTGCCAAGTGGGGTTGGTGGGCAGTGATGAGAAGTGGGCAACTGCAGCTGCATGCAGATAGCCCTAGAGGCAGCCTGGGATCTGAAGACCAAGATGGAGGCCTGGTGCAGCACTTTTTTATTAGCTGAGTGAATGTGGGTATATTCTCTAACTATTGTGGGGATATTCTCTAACTTTTCTGGGCTTCAGTTTCTGCAGCTATAAATGGAGATAAGTAACACCTGCCTCGCTGGGTCATTGAAAACATTAAACTGGATAGCATGTAAAGTATCTAGAGCAGTCGTTCTCAACCTTGGCTGCACATTAGAATCACCTGGGGATTTTTTTTAAAGCCTAAAAAAGGATAAGGCTCAGAAATCAGGATTTTAAAAAGATTCCCAGGTGATTCTAATGTGCAGCCAAGGTTGAGAACCACTGATCTAGAGGGTGTAGGCACTGTAAACTTGCTTAGTAATCTTAAGTAAGTCATGTAATCACTTTAACCTCAGTTTTCTCATCTGATCAATAAGGATAATAATATATACCTTGTAATAAGTAAGGTGAAATGTAGAAAAGAGCTTTGAAATGATAAGTCTCAATATAAAAGTTATTCCTATGTATGTGCAAATCCATGCCACTAACAATACCTGAGGGTCATCAGTTGTCCAGCCCAGCAGATTTCTACTGTTCAGTGGGTAAGCATGTGTAGGGCTGGAGAAAGTAAAGGACACAATGGCAGAAGAACAGGCCGTGTTGTTATCTTAGGCCAGGATTTTATTTCAAAATCAGACCATGAGGTCAAAACCACATATAGTTTATTAATTACCCATAAAGCTCCTGAATTGGCTCACAGGGACTCTCTCAGATCCAGTAGAATCAGTTCCTTTTCCAGCATAGGAACAGATATTGCCTTTTCTTGGGTTGGACACCGCTAAAATATTGAAGTTAGGTTTCGGGGCCATGTTGAATTAAAAACTTAGTATAACATGGTGAGAGAGGTGTGGGAACTGAGAGATAGAAACATTCACAACTCCCATCATTCTTAGCTCTCATCTCAGATTCACTCTGGTTCTTATGTTCAAGTCAGCTTTTTATTGTTTAACAAATATGTATTGATCACCTGTGTGCCAGATGCTATGCTAGAAACTGGAACAGCATTAAAAAAACACCATTCTGTATTGCCTTCTAATTGGGGAGGCAGAGAGTAAACAAGCAAGAAGGATAGTTTGTGAGATGGGAGAACTATGAGAGATAAAGCAAGACTAGGTTTAGGAAGTTCTGGAATGGCCAATAGCAGTTTAAATGGAAAAGCCTGTTGGGAAGCTCTGATTTGCAAAAGCTCTGCTAGAACAGCCAGTGCAAAGGCCCTGAGGCAGGCAGGAGTGCCTGCATGTTTGCAGATGAGAAGCCAAGTGTGGCTGGCGTGGAAGGAAGGAGGGGAGCCATGGGGATGAGCTCTGTAGGGCCTTGTCAGCGATTGTGCTGTTGGTCTTTCGTCTGGGTGAGAGAGGAGGCCATTGGATAGATTTGAACCAAGGAAGGACAAAATATGCTTACCAAGATCTCTGTGGTTTCTGTGTTGAGAAAAGCCTGAAGGGGGACAAGAGAGCTAGTAAGGAGCCTGCTGCAGTAGTCCTAGTGAAAGACAGGGTTGGCTTGAACCAAAGTGGTGAGAACTAGTTAATGCTGGATATTTTAATGTTAGAGCTGCTGATGCATTTACTGTCAGAATAGATGTGGAGTATGAAACAAAGAGATGAGTTCAAGAGAAGCTGCAAGAATTTTAGCTTGAGTCTTGGGATGGACTTGCCATTGAGGTGGGAAAGCATTTGGGAGGAGCTGGGGAGTGGTGGTTAGGAACTTAATCTGGTTTAGGGCAGATTAAGTTTGAGATCCTAACAGACACCCAGGGGTAGATGTGGAGTGGGATGTTGGATGAATGTAAATCTGGAGCTCAAGGTAGTTTAGACTAGAGCTCTATGTTCAGGACTCCTCAGCATATAGATAGCATTTAAAACCATGAGATGGGACAAGCTCTCCAAGGTAGGCAGGGAAAAGGTCTAAGGCTGAGCTCCTGGCCTTCAACATTAAGAGGCCAAGAGAGGAGAAGGCACCAGCCACCAGGACTGGGAAGGAGCGGCTGGGGAGATGGGAGGAGAAACGGGGAAGTGTGGTGTTGAGGGCAGAGGAGCATGGAGATCCTGTCACTGTTTGAGTGGTCCTTTCTCTATGCACTGGCAGTTCTATTTGAGAATACACATGCTGCAAATCCATTGTGTTGTAATTTTAGAAAAAGCGCCATTTCAGTAGTGTGTGGGAGGGGGAGGTCTAGGAATCAGACAGGCACAGCGTAAAATTCCGTTTTGCTCTAATAAAGCCTGTGGACATATTAGTATGTCCAGGCCAGGAAGGGCTTCTCTAGACACATGGCACAGTTGCCTGGCCCAGAGAGACTAGGGTGTGCATGCAGATACTGTAAGCCTCAGTTTCCCTGTCTTTAAAGTGGAGTTTTAATAACCTTTACCCACACTAGAGTGTCCAACGAAAAACTGTACCCGAATTGTTGCTCAGCCAGGCCCAAGAACCTCCCAAGTTTTGAGTAGGTTCTGGTTCTGTGACTCCAGGCCTCTGCCATGGGTTCTAAATGTTACAGTGCAGGCTCCTCAGTGTCAGAGCCTCAGGTGGGTGCTCAGTGCAGATTTACTCACCAGTTTTCATCCCTCAATGAGTCACACCACTCATCATTCCAAGAAATTCTTATTTTCTTTATTGTTTTTTTGACTCAACAATTTTTTAAAACTTTTTTTCTGAAACGTTCTTGTTGTTATGAGCCTTTTGTTTTGTTCTCGTTAAATGCACTCGACCCAAAATTGGTTTGGCATATCGAAAAGGAGACCAAGGAGGGACTGGGAGCATGGAGGAGGGGAGGCCCGAATGGACAGAGAAATTGAGAGAAGAGGAACATAGAGACAGCAAAAAAAAAAAAAAAAAAAAAGGAAAGAGGTGGAGACACAGTAAGGAAGGCAAGGGAAACAAACGAAAAAAACACACCCACAAAACAAAACCACCCCAGATAAAAATTAACAAGATTGAGAAGCAAATGAATCCAAGGAAGGAAATAGGAGAGGAAACCAAGACCCTTTCTTCTCTATACTGTCCCAGCTGGGGTGGGGGTGTCAAGGCACCAGGTCTGGTTGGGGTGCGGGGATGGACACCTGGGCTCTGGGTGGTGTTCTGCACTGTGCTGCAGTGGTGTTCAGCCCCACCAGGGGGCCCTGCCACACAGCTTTGAGGCCTAGGAATTCACCTTGGTGAACCTGGCTGGAATGGGAACCACGGGACCCACTTACCCTCTCTCCCCTTGATTGTCCGTGTCTGGAGATAAAAGGAGGGCTAGGCAGGGAGAGGATGGAGGACTCCTTGCATGCCTCCAGTTCCCCTGGAAACTCCCACCCTGCTAACTTTTCCAGTCCTCTTGGTGTCAGGCCAACTCCTCCATTTATCTGTGTCTCCTACCAGCTCTTTGCAGACCTCTAATTGCCCCTCTTGAAACCAAGGCAGGGCACAGAGCTGGTTCCCATCCTCCTCACAGAGCCATCTGGACGAGATCATCCCCACTCTTACTTCTCTGGGTCCAGACTCACCCATGGTCTTCTGGCAAACAGGGTTAAGCCTCCCTGCCAGGAAAAGCTAGAGATGGAACCCAACACTGCCTTCTCCCCACACTTGTACTCCCACACAGGACAAACCACCATCTTTGGTTTGACCCCTTCTCCCCTGACGGGGACAAGCCAGCCTCAGCTCCCCAGAAGGGAGGGGCTTTCTAGCAGCAAAAAGGGCCCCTCCAGCCACCTACCTGTCCCTTTTCTCTAGTTTCTCCCTAGAGCCCTTCCCCTTAACCCAAAAAGTTCATGGTAGCAGCAGACTGAGACCCAAAGATGTTTGAAAACTCATGGCACTTGTGAGAAAAGAGGAAGGGGCAAAAAAGACAAGGAGGGGGTCAGAGCAGAGGTGGAGAGCCACCCCTGAGGAAATGGCAATTATGGGGCTGTGTTAGTGTGGCAATGGGACTATGCTACCCCCAGAGTGTGTGTGTGTGTGTGTGTGTTCTGGAGGGCCAGGGTGACAGGCTAGAGAGGGGACCAGAAGAGGTACTCAGGAGACATTCCAAGCCTGACACTTCTTTAGGGCCTACAGGTTTAGGGTTGAGCCCCGGAACATGGGTGTCCTGACTGGAGGCCCTGGTATCTTGCTTTGCCTCCTCTGTTGGAGGGTGTAGGGTAGGGAAGGTGCTATTTCACCTTTGCACCCTATACCACCCCCACTCCCACCCAAACAAGACCACCTCATCATCCCTGGTCCTCCCTCCTCAGTCACATCAAACCCTGCTGTCCTCATTTTCCTCCCCCATCAACCTCTCTAGGCAGGAAATGAGCCACTCATCCCCAGCCCAGAGTTCCAGAAGCAATGTACAAGAGGCAGGAACTCGAAGGGACAGCACAGCCATCTTGGCAAAAGCATCTTTGGGTGTGAGGGGTGCCTCCCCTGGGCCAGTGGGGAGGGAAGGGGTAGACAGGTCCCCGGTCCTGGGGCAGGCAGTGAGGTACACGCCCCAGGAGGGCTGACTGATGCCAGGGTCAGGCGGAGCAGGGAGGGAGGCAACAGAAATAGGTGCCTGGAAGGAAACAGGTTCTTTGTTTCGCTGTTGCTTCTAGATTTTTTTCTGTCTCTGGATTGTAAAAAGCTGCTCTGGTGGCCGCCCACCTGGCTGGGGATGCACACGTACACGGAGAAGTCCAGGCTGCCCAGGCCCAGCGGTCTAGCTCTGCTCCGGAGAAAGCCCGGGCTGGCTGGGCCGCAGGCTCCTGGTGGCTTCAAGTGATGAGATTTTCTTTCTTTTTTTTTTGTCTTTTCCATTTCTTTGAAATATTTACAGCAATGGGAGAGGAGGAAAGAGGAAGGGAAAAAAAAAAGATCCAGACCCAAAATCTGCTCCCCAGATAGCCAAGCCCACAGGATTGGAACTGCCCAAATATGGCCACCCCTGTGGGCTGGGGGCCCTTCAGGGAGTTGTGCTTCATCAGGAGTCACCCCAAGGGAGGGGGTCAGTGGGTGCACTTGAGGAGGGCAAAGGGGACAGGTTTGCTGGGGAGGCAGGGACTCAGAGCAGAGGGAAGGAGCTTCAGAGAAAATTCAACCTTTACACCACCAGCCACAAAGGCCCATTCCTCTTGCCCTGGGGCTTATCTCCTGGGCCAGAGGCCCCAGCCTCCAGGGAGCAGGGAACTGTAGTGCAGGAGGAACCTGTCCATCTGTCCTTCTGCCCCCATTGCTCCCTCCTGGTGCAGCCCAGCATTTCTGACTACAGAAAGAGGTGCAGATTGATAAGTTCCATCTAGCAAGGCCTTTGGTCCAGGGACACCAAAGCCCTCATTTCTCTCCAGCAGATAGGAAGAGCAGCGGGGAGGGGGAAGTCAAGAGTGAGATGTACCCTTCCAATTTCTCCTTCCTTATTCCCCTTGGGACCTCTGGGTTCCTCCTCATGGCACTTCCCCCAAAGTAAGCTGGTGCGTGTGGCTGGTGGGAAACCCAGTCTGTGAACCCTGCACCTCAGGTCCCCACAGCAGGGCCCCCAAGAGGCCTCAAGGGCCCTCAGACAAGGGATGCCTGGAGAGTGGCCCACCAGCCACTGCCTCCTTCAGTCTCCCTATCCCCTCAGAGCCCTACTCAGGGTTCCCTCCCTGGCCTGGGCTACCAGCCCCGGTCCATGAGGTCCCTCAGAGGCTGGTGACCAGCTGCATCTGCCCATCCCCATCAGGCCCTGGCCCCTCAAGGCCTGGGGCTGCCAAATAGCCTTCGTGGCTGGGCCGCCGCACCTGGTAGTAGCCCTGCAGGGGGTTTCGGGCCACCAAGGCTGGTGGGCGCGAGGTGTAGTAGATTTCAGGGGGGACAGGGGGCGCGGGCGGGGGTGGGGGCAGGGCCTCACTGGGCCCCTCAGGGCTGCTGTCCGGGTAGGAGGGCGAGTCCCGAAGGTTGGCCCCACTGGCATAGAGGGAGTCCCGGCCCGGAGGGGAGGAGAGGGGCCGGCTGGTGGCCCCGTCCTCTGCTGTGCAGCTCTCCGACTCGTCCAGATCGCTCTGGTACAGCACCGACTGGGCCCGGGGCAGCAGCAGTGGCTCCTCCAGGGCCTTGTAGAGAAGTTCAATCTCGGCCCGGTCAGCACCCCCGGGCCCACCAGCCTCTTCCTCACTGCCACCCCCCGGCACAGGTGGCACCGGGGGCTCAGGCGGTGGAGGGCCTTTGGCCCCGCTGCTGCCACCCCGCAGGTTGTTGTGCACCAGCTCTGAGATGATCATCTTCTCAAAGGCGGCAGCATCTGCCAGGTTCCGGCCTCGGGGTGGCTCAGGTGCCCCATCCCCTGGAGGGAAATCCCCACTTCGCAAAGAGTAACTGTTGTTGAAGTTGCCGTTGAGGGGCAGTGTGTCCATGCCGCAGGCTTCCCGGCCTCCCAAGGGGTGCTCTGCAGGCAGAAGGGGGCTGCTCAGGGGGAGAGGCAGGCATTGGGAAGGATCCAGGCCATGTGAGGTGAGGCTGCCTGGGTTTACCCCTGCCCCTGGGGACTGGGGTCTTCCATTCTCTCTCTTCCTCATTGGCAGTGGGGACACCCATCATGCAGGTTGGTGGAAGAGGGGTGGAGACCAGTTTTCCCAGGTTTCCCTCCCAGCCAGGGACTCAGAATCTTAGCGTTGTGAGAAGACTGGGATGAGGAAGTCTCACACCACTAAGATTCTGAGCCCCCGGCTGGGAGGGAAACCTGTGCCCGACCCTCATCTTCATTCCCCACCTGAAGCCCAAATACACCACCAACCAGCTGCCAAACCAGAGACCGCATGCATATGCTTGTGGGTGTGTGTTGGGGCGAGACGGGGATGCACTCTATGAGTTCTCCTCCCTAAATAAGTGAGGCCATCCAAGGAGGCCACTGTCTCGTTCCCCTCCCAGACTCGGAAATGTTACCAGGAAAGTCTCACTTACTGGGTTCCCGGTAGCTCCCTGCAGGTGCCAGGCCAGGAGGGAAAAGAAAGAAGGTGAATGGGCTTGGAATGCTGAGTCCAGGCTCAGTTCAGGAGGCACGAGGGCACCCCAAGTGAAAACCCCTCAGGATGCAGACCCCACACTCCCTGACCTGGGCTGTTGCCCTCTCCCAGAACTAGAGTATTCTTACCTGGGGAGTTGAAGACAGGGGGTGAGGAGGGATTGAAGCCCACTGACTCGGCGATGAGGGTGTTGTAGGGGCTGGTGCCGCCACGAGGCTGAAGCACGGGGTTGGTCAGCAGGTGGTTCCCCATGGTACCTGCCCAGGAGGTCAGAAGTAACAGGGCGGTTTGGAGACACAGGCCAGGAATCTCAAGGGACTGGAGCCAGGGGTGAGGGATGCTGTCTCACCTCGGTTCAGGGTAGGGGTACTGTTGATGTCACCCGCCATGAAGGAAGATTCTGTCTGTTTCCTCACGGTGTCATTCCACATCCTCCGGATTCGGCTCTGGGGACACAGCCCAGACATAAGGGGACCCTCAAGCTGCCCACCCTCCAGAAACTTTCTGAGACCACTCGCCTGATGAACACCACCAAGGACCTGGGCAAAGCACTGCCCCGCCTCTGGGCTCCTGGGTCTGACACTCAGCCCAGGGAGCCTGCCTAGTGCCCGCCCAGCTCAGATACCTGGGTCCCTGTGTAGTAGCGGGTGTTGCTCCGCATGGCTGAGGTCTTAAGCGAGCCATGAGCGCCCCCGGGCGGGGAGCGGATGCAGCAGTAGGAGTGTCGCAGGCACTTGCTGTACTCCTTATGCACCTGGGGGGCGAGGAGAACAGGCAGCTGGTCGCAGGCGCCCCCACTCAGAGGAGTCCAGAGACCAAGCTACAAGCAGGCATCAGAAACCTGTTCTGTCCCACAGCAGCCAGCCAGGTAGACTCTCTTTCCTTGCTCAGGCCCATCTTCCGTTCTTCACCTCCACCAGTTTCTTATCCATTCAATGACTCAACAGCTCTTTAATGCATATCCTCTATGTGTCAGGCACGGCTTAGGCTCCGGGGATAATCAGAACAAATCAGACATAAAGCCCTACCTTTCAGAGCTGTTATTTTAGTAGACAGAGACATAACATAGATGTAAACATCAGTACATAATGTAGGATGTCTATGGTGTTAGGTGCTGCGAAGGACCTATGGCTGGGGAGGGGGTTAGGCAGTGCTGGGGGGTATGGGGTTGTGGTGGTGGTTTGCAGATTTCAAATCGATCAGGAGAGGCCTCACTGAGCAGACATTTCGGCAAAGACTTGAGAGAAACAGACAGCAGGCCCTGTGATATCTGGGGAGGAGCAGGGAACAAGCCATGAGGACGGTCCATGTCTAGGTGTCTGAGAGAGGGCAGAGGGCACTGCTGGAAGAAAGGGAACAGAGGGGGGCTCTGGTTGGACCTTGCGTGCCTGGAGGTTCCTATGAGGAAGTAACTGCCCCAATGTGTCCAATGTGGGCTGCCAGTTTTAAGAGGAGGAAGGATACAGTCAAACTTGCAGGACTCTGATTAGTATCTCCATCCCCAACCTTAGCCTCACCCACCTCACTGTCTCCCGAGACTAACACTGACAGGGCCCCCCACTGCCTTCAGGACCAAGCACACAAATGTCTTGGCTCAGTTTCCATGGCTTGAGTCCTGTATGCCGTCTCCACATTCCTCTGCTTCTGTTATCACCTTCATTTACTTTCTTAAGATTTAGACCAGGGGTTCTCAAACAGCGGCCCGCGGGCCACATGCAAATACAAATATTGTATTTGTTTCCGTTTTGTTTTTTTACTTCAAAATAAGATATGTGCAGCGTGCATAGGAATTTGTTCATAGTTTTTTTTAAAACTATAGTCCAGCCCTCCAACGGTCTGAGGGACAGTGAACTGGCCCCCTGTTTAAAAAGTTTGAGGACCCCTGATTTAGATTTTAACATGTTTTATTTAAAAAGGAAACTTTCTATCACCACAAAACTCATAGTTCATCTCATAACTATTTAAGTAGGAAACATTTGTCTGGATGGGGCCCAGGGTCATCTCCATTTTGCATGCCTGCTTGGTGCCCCACACCCTGGGAAGAGGCCGTCACCATGTCCCAAATCCACCCGGCTTTCTTGCTCTTCCAGTCCTCTATCCTGCTCTTTTCCAGATCCTTCTTCACTCCTGGCTAAATCCTCCCGGACGGTGAGCCCATGCTCCCCTCGCAGCAGACACGGGTCCCTACAGAAGTCAGGCTACCTGAGCCTCCTCCCTGACCTCACCTTCTTCTGTAAGGCGCAGTGAAAGACGAAGATGAAGACCCCCTGGAAGGCGTTGAAGGTGGTAAAGAGATAGGCCATGACTACCGACTCCTTATTGATGAAGAGGAGGCCGAAAGCCCAGGTGAGGCCCAGCAGGAAGAGCAGCGCGATGGCCCCTAGGGCCCAGGATCTGGGGGGGGTGGGGAGAGAAGACGGGGACATCAAAGACCCGCTAGTGGTGATGCTTCCCCTGTTGGCCTCCTTGGGCCTGGACGCTCTCTGCCAAGACCCACCTAAGTGAGTAGGCCTCACGATAATGGCCTGCCCAGTGACACTTCCACCTAGCCTGGGCCTGAGGGGCAAGCAGAAGTCGGGGGTCGGGGTTTGTGAATGGTCAGTCATTCCCTGCATCTTTCATCCTTTTGGCCCTATTTCTAGGCCCTTAAATTATCTTTTGCTGCCTATTTCTCTTTAACTTGCCCTGAAATAGACTCACTTTTGAATTCAGTCTTGCCCTAAGCAGTTATTCAGTTATGTCCCCCAAACCACAGGTTGAATGTGCTAGTGCCAGGTTTTTAAATACACATTAGGTGGATATATAATGAGCACAATAAAACACCATCTTTGTTCTTAAATCACATAGTGTGACCACAGAGTGACAGCACTACATCTTACAAAGTCCTGGGAGAGACCGGGCCAGTGTGGAGTTTTAGTGGCAGGGGTGCAGGGAGGGGATGCTCACTTAATGTTGTCCAGGCGACTCGAGTCCGGCTTGAGCACAGATGAGCTCCGGATCATCTTGTGCAGGGTCACCATGAGGAACACCAGGTTCACCTGGGGGCGGGACAAGGGGAGGGGCTGTGCTGTGAATTTCTGGCCAAGTCTCAGCCTGGACCTCCTTCTTCCGGGCCTCTTCTACAGGTATACCTGCCCCAGGTGCTCACTGACTGGTATAACTGTCGGTTAACAGGGTTCCCACTACTGGAAAGACGGGGCCCACAGCCTGCCGTAGAGCAGGGGCTCAAATTCCAGCTCCTAGATGGGTGAACCTCAATGCTGGAGCTCTACAGACCCGCTGTGCTCTCATCCTCTTAGTTGGCTGTTCAGTTCCCATGGTTTTTAAGGGCTTGGGGAGACTGGGATTGCTCGGGGACAAGGCTAGCCTGGATAAAGGATGGAGACGCAGTACTGGGGTACCACCTTCCAGCTTACCACAATAACAAAGGAGACGGGCCCAATGAAGCTCCAGATGAAATAATTATCCACTCGGAGCCAGCAACTATAAAGGAAGCAGGGCCAGGTAGATAGAGGCAGAGGGGGGCCCCTCCCTCTGACCCCAGGAGCCCAGTGCCCCAAGGGTCCTGCTGTTGAGCAGGGAACCGGGCAAGAGGAGAGATGGGGGTGGGGGAGGCACTCACGCCTTCTCGGTGCCATAGCTGCGGTAGTCAATGGCAGCCGCGATGCCTACCACCAGGGCTGGGAAGCAGTAGCCACCTAGGTAGTAGTACTTGGTGCGGGAGTACTCGCTCTCAAACACCTCTACCAGCAGCAGATAGAGGTGCACACCCTCCAGGCACAGCCAGGAAAAGGCAGCCAGGAAAAAGTAGTGCAGCAGGCCAGCGAAGATGGGGCAGGCAATCTGGGGGGCGAGGGCACCACAAATGAGGGGCTGCCCAGCCAGGTGGCCTCTCCTGCCTTCCCCCACCCACTACCTCGTGCCTGGCCCACCTCATACTGAGTCTTGTCTATGCCAACCAGGAAGAGCAGCTCAGCCAGGAAGAGGTTGATGCACAGGTTCTTGTGGATGGTATTGCGGTCAGTCTGCAGTCCCCGCAGGAAGCAGAAGGTGGAGATGCAGATGGCCAAGCAGACCAGGGAGATCACGATGCCTACCCAGGTGATGACTGACAGCAGCAGCTCGTTGATGCGGCCCTGGTACTGGGAGACAGCAGAGGGTACACTCAGCACCCCTGCCCACAGCCGGGCTCACCCTAGGCTCAGCTAAGTGCCAGCTGGGGGCAAGGCTGCAGGCCACAAGTACTGCTGGTGCAGCCCCCACCCCCCTGGCCTCCTGCCCCCGCTGCCCCGGCCAACTTGCTGGCCCCCACCGCTCTGCAGGTGGCGCGCTCACTTCCTCATGCTCTGGAAGGCATGTGGAGAGATGACAAAGGTGACACCAACTTGCTTCTCCAGTGGGCCTTGGGAGAAGGTGGGACTATGACCAGAGAGAACCAGATGTGTGGCCTCATCCCCTGGGCAAGACTGGTGGCCCCCCATGCCCATGAAGCTGGTCTTCCCTGGCACTGCCCATGCTTCACTCTATGATGCCATGCAAAGCTGGGCCAGAGAGTGGGCCCGCCAGGAGAGCGCAGCGGAGCGCCAGCCAGCTTACGATCTCACGGTGAGCCATGAGCACGGCAAAGTTGGTGAGGTGGCTGCAGGCACATGTGGTGTGGGTCTTGTTGGACTCCACCAGGCGGCAGCCCTGGGTCGACCAGTAGCCCAGCATGGAGCGCTCCGAGTAGTTCCAGAAGGAGCAGTTAGCATTGAAGTGGTTCTTGGCCTGTTGTGTGGTGGTGGCCGGGGAGTCAGATCTGGGGAGTCCCTCTCCAGCCCTCACACCCAGCCACAGGGATAGCAGCAAGCGTGGAGAAGTGCTTGGAGCTCCAGGGGACAGTTTGATATCTCTGGGGACAAATGACCTAAGCGGTTGAGGCGGGGCAGCGAGGGGGTGCATGGCCGAGGGAGGGGTGCAGACTTGCTCCTGGGTGGATGAGCAGGCAGTGGGAGAATAGCAGCATGGGAACACAAAAGATGCTGGGACCCTCATGGAGGGTGAGGGATGCCTCAGCTCACCTCCAGGTGGGCCACAGTAAAGATGACAGGGTCCATGAGGAAGACACGACTGGACTCCTTATTGATGGAGGCTGCAATGACCTGTGAGTTCACCACCAGGGAGGTGCCCCCTGGGCTGCCCGCGCCCGTTTCGCTCGCCAGCTTCACTGTGGCGTTCTCAGTGGACAGGAAAAGACCCAGGTTGTTGTAGAGGATGAAGACAACTTTGACCACCCCTGGGGAGAACAGGTGTAGTGGGGTTTGCCATCAGCCCTTGGCTGGTGCAGCTCCGGCCACTGGGACCTGTCTTTACCAGGCCGAAGCCCACGCGAGTGGGGCTCAGAGAACCCTGCCCTGGGACAACTGCTCAGTTGCAGGCAGCGCCAAACAACAGGGCAGCAGGCCGGAACACACAGCAGCTGGGTCCGTGGGCACCTCTCACTTGTGGTGTGATCTTGAGCAAATCCCTAACCTTCCTGTGCCTTAGACTCAAATGCGACAGTCCTCCCTGAGCTGCTGCACCAAAGTGAGCCCTGCAGACTGAAGTGTCCTGGCTCTACGGGGCGTTGGGAGACCCCATGAGTTATATTCCCCCAGCTTGAGCAGAGGACTTGAGGGAGCCACAAGGAAGGAGAAAAGAAGGGGCACTGACCATTGCGGCTGTTCTGCTTGATGGTGTTGGCTGACAGCTGGATGGAGTTTTCGCTCGGGTACTCCTGGGGGAACACCAGCTCCTGCACTTGGCCCTCTGTGTTCAGAACCGTGACCTCCAGGACTGTGGGACAGAGGATGGCAGGGCATACGGGATTGGAATCTGTGCCCAGACCCGGGGCCAAAGGTCAAGGGCCAGGGTGGTCTCTGGAACAGGTGGGCCCCACAGTTCAAGACTTGCACTTGAACTTGCCCCGGTGAGACTATAGCACTCACCCACATTCTGTTTGGCAGCCAAAAAGCGGGCCGGCTCCCTGACATTGTCGGCCAGCAGGAAGGCACCCTCCTCCAGTACGTCCAGGAGCATGGTGGCTGTATGCACCTGCTCTGTGGCATTCATGTCCTTCCAGGACTCAAGAGCCTCTGGCCGCAGCAGGTTGTCCACCGTCTCCACCACAGCCTAAATGAGCAGGGAGAGGGGTTGGGGGGAGGGGGAAAGGTTGGGGTGGCGCCATGAGTCGCCCCACATCCTCCAGTTCCTCAGGATGGCCTCTGTATCCCCTCCACTCAATCTCCACTCCACCCCCCCCCAGTGCCTCCTGGGGCCTGCCCCACCCACCTCAGACAGTAGAAGCCCTCTGGGCCTCACCTTAATGTAGTCCTTGCAGGTTCTCTCCCGCTTGTGCATCTAAGGAAAGGGATGAAGGCACTGTCAGGCCTGGCCTCCTGCCCTACTCATTCCAACGCTCTCACTCTTCTGTGTCTGCCACCGACCTGGTGCTGGGCCATGAGTAAGAGTTCCTCAGGGATCCCCCAACCCCCAGGACCCTCCAAGGTATCCCAGGAGGGAGACCAACAGGCCTGGATTCTGTCCATCCTTCCTCTGACCATCGTGGGTGACAGCCCAGCTCTTAGGTACTAGGTCAGAACCTTTCTGGGCTCCAGGACAGAGCCCCCCATTGGCCCTGCTGCCAGGCCCCACCTTGTTATAGTTCTTGCCGGCCGACTCGCGCTCAATGGGCCGCAGAGCCTGCAGCTGGGCATCCAGGATGTCCAGCAGCTGTTCCATCAGCTTCACGGAGGAAGACACGTCTCCCGCATAAATGGAGCCCCGGGTGTGGCGGGCCAGCTCACTGGCAATGTTGGCTGCATTCTCCCCGCTCTTGATCTGAATGAGGCAGAAGTGGGGGACCCAGCTCTGTCAGGGATCATCTTGCTTCCCCATGGTCCCTTTGCACATGCCCAGCCTGCTCAGCCCTTCTCATTGCTCTCTGCGGCCCCTTCTCCCTGGCTGCCCTCTCCCCTTCTCTGTACGCTAGAGAGTGGACCCACATTCCTGCCTCCCAGACCTGCCGCCCATTTGTCTCCCTCTGTGTCCCACTGCTCCACTGCACCCTGCGCCCAGCCACCCAGAGCCCAGTATGCACAGGTGCCTGAGAGGAGCAGCTGCTACTGGTACCTTCTGGGCCACCTGGTTGACCCAGGGGGAGGTGCAGTTGCTGAGGTCAGGGCCCCGGGGGTTCCAGAGCCCCAGGGCTGGTAGACACTGGAAGGAGGCAATTCCTGCAGGGACAGACAGACAGGACAGAGAAGGGAGCCACAAGGAAGGAGAAAAGGGGCCAAAGCAGGGGGAAAGGAGATGACAGAGAGGGCAAGTAGGTGAGGGGAACATGGAAGACCAGACATGAAGCAGGCCAGACAGTCAAGAGAGGTGTCACTCTGAGGTGACATAAGTCACCCCTGACTTCCCAAGCTCTCCCTCTTGGCTCCCCTTCCATCTTTGCCTACAGGAATAGAACCTTTTAGCAAAGCCCGTCTTGGAAGCCTCCTCTCCACGAAGCCTCTTCTGACCCTTCCCTCGGATCCCTGGAGTACATGGTCATGGCCCACCCCTCTGGCACTTCAACTGCCATCTACCCTGCCATCAGCTGTTGCCAAGGCTGGTCCGCCTTAGCCTGAGACTGGGACACACCCAAGTCACCTCTGTGGGCTCCCTGCAGGGTCCACCTAGTGCTTTTCATGCGGCAGGTGCTCAGTCCTGCAGGAGGAGAAAGGGTTTGGGGTGGGGGAGGGTACTGAGCTACTATTATGCCCTGGGAGCTCTGTTGGAGTCTGGGGACACGGCGGCAGATATCAGGTACCCCTGCCATATAAAACCCAGGCTCTGGCAGGGGAGATGGACAGGTAAGTGCACCTGTGCTGAGTGGTGGGCATGTCCTGTCTCTTCCCTGCCCAGACATGCAGTAGCCACCCCACAAACCAGCCACAGTGGAAGTGACCGAGGCCTCTGCACTTACCTCGCGTCCCCTTGGGGCAGGGCCTCTCCACCAGCATGCCCTGCTGGGTGGCCGGCCACTGGACCCGCCGCACCTCTCGCGGTTCACAGAAGAGCTCTGGAGACACGTGCAGATTAGGGGCTGGGGGCCGCCGGGTATTGGGGGCTGGGGCTGTGGCTGGAGGCAGGTCAGGTCCCAGCTGGTTGATGGCACCCACCGGGTGTGTGGTGAGGGGTGCCCGGCGGAGTGGGGTGGTGGCTGCAGGTGAGGCCGTGCTGGTGAGGGGTGTGGGCCGGACTGTGGTGGTCGTGCTGAGGGGCGGGGAAGTGGCTGGGCCTGGAATGGAGAGGAGACAGGAGACAGAGTCACCCCCATGTTCAGGGCCTTGCCACAGCATGCCTAGGTACTTGGATCCCTGGTATCTTAGCATCTTTCTTGCCAATGAAGTAGAAAGGTGTCCTGGTCCCCACTGGGTCTGGAAGGGGATCTCCCCCGGCATTCTCTCCGCCCACAGAGATCCCTCACTTCGGTCGGACCATGTAAAGCAGCCAAAGGGGTTAAGAATTCACTCCTGTGCACCCTGAGGTCTGAAAGAACAACTGGAGAGGACAGGCCATGAAGGTAGGGAACATGGCCACCTCCCATCCTCGGTTACGCTCACTCTGGTCTGTAACCTGGCCAGGTCCCTTCCCTCGGGTGGGAGGCCCTCAGTTTCCCATTATGCAAAGGGAGCTGGATGAGATTAGGCTCCCTGGACCCCTGGGGCTGCTCAGAGATGGCTCAGGGCAGCTGAGGGGGCAAATGAGACTACAGAGAGGCCCCACCCCATCAACAGCAGCAGCAGCTCAGCCTCATTCTGTTTCTGGGCTTCCTGATGTTTGGGCTTCCACTCAAGATTTTGGTTGGTAAGGGTTCCATGGCTAAAAGTGCACAGGCCACTGGGAGAGGCAGTGTACTCGGGGGTTAGGTGCCCAGAGTTCTGAGTCCAAATCCTCAAAGTACATAAACTAATCCCCACCCCCCAGGGCTTAGTTTCCTCATCTGTAAACGGGGCAGTGACAATCCCTGTGACTATGAGGGTTATTAAATGAATTAAATGCTCAGAACATGAGCTGTGCGACTCCATTCAAGGTCTCCCCCAACCCACCTCCAGGTCCCTAAGAACTCCAAGTGTGCCCCCCACCCTGGGACTGGGGATGAGGCCTGGGGCAGTGAACAGGAGCCATCCTCACCCGCACTGGGGTCCGGAGGCCCAAACTCCAGGCTGTAGCGCACCACGAAGTAGTTGTTCCAGACGTAGAGCTGGTTGTCACGCGGGTTGTAGTCCACAGAGGAGACGAACTGGTAGGGGTTGGGGAAGGCCAGGCTGACCGGCTCCTCGCGGTTAGCATTGGTGTTGAAGGCGTAGTCCACGCGGTTGCCAGCTGCCTCACTGTCGTCATCCACATAGACCGAGCGCAGCACGTAGAGGACACCGCACACCATGAAGGCGTTGGACGCTGAGCGCTTGTCGTATCCTGTTTCCCACGTGCCCTCGAAGCGCAGTGTATAGGGGTTGAGCTGGCTCACCACCAGCCGCCCATTGTTGCCCTCAGTAGCATAGATGACCCACAGCCCATTCTCGTCCACAGCCAGATCGATGTCAGTCTTGCCTCCCCAGCGGTAGGGCGAGGTGTCATGGTAGTTGGCAGTGTTGATGACCGTCTCCCCGCTCTTGATGCGTGTGCGCAGGTCGTACTTGACAATGTTGCGTGTGCGCTCCTTGTTGTAGAAGACAGCGCCGTCGTAGACCACAAAGCCAGTGCCATCTACGCGGTTGGGCAGGCGGTAGGTGGTGGTGTGGCGCGCTGCCACGTAGTCCTCCCAGGAGGCATACTCGGTCAATGTGTCCGTGCGGTAGGGGATCCAGGGCATGACGTAGATGCGGTCCCCCGCCTGCAGTGGATCCTTGCACCATGCACCAGACTGGTGCTCCGACTCGTGCGTGGAGGTGGGCTCCAGCACCTTCTGCAGGGTCCCTGGGCACACGAAGACTGGGCAGGGTGGGTGGGAGGAGAGGAAACAGGAGAGGAGGTGCAGGGATGAGGGAGGGGAGGAGAGAGAAAGGGGAAAGAGAGGCAGTTGGTCACAAGGCCAGGGGGAAGCCAGACTCCCCTCCTGCTGCTGCAGTCACGGTTGCTTGGTAGGGCTGGTGATGGGAAGGGGGTTTCCGGGCTGGGATCCCTGCCCGCCCAGCTGCCCCTCTCCCTGGAGATGTCAACCCTGGAGGCCATTAAGAGCAGGGTTAGTGGGAGAAGGTGGTACCCCTCTTTCCTTTTCTGGCTGCTAGAGACCCCACAGGCTGGGGATAAGGGGTTTGGCAAGAGCCCTCCCAGAGACTGTCTCGTGTGCCTTAAGCATGGCGGAAAGACCTCACTGCAGCTGCTGCCTGGCAGCTTTCCAGTTCCAGGGACTCAGTGCCCTGCCTCTTGGCCATCACCTCCACCTCCCAAGGAAGAGCTAGAGTGGAGGGTCCCATCCTTCACCCATACAAGGAAAGATTTTTTTTTTTACTCCCCTTTCTTCCTCCTGCAAAAATTGCAAGGTAGTGATGTTTCTGTACCCACTGTGGGTGTCAGGAGCATCCCCCCATTCCAGGGAAGGGGAAGCACCCAAGGTTCCTGATGCAGCCTGTGCCCTCCCCCAGTACCCACACAATCAGGAAGGGTTTTTGGAAAAGTCCAGCCGCTCCCCTACGATGCCCAGCCCTGCCCCCAGCCGGCAGGGTCTCTCATGGGGTTTGTTCAGCAGCAGACACTGACACTGGTGCACAGGGATGGGGGTGGGACATGGGGAGGGAGGGGACTCCCCAGGAGAGTTGGGGAGGGGTAAGGAAAGCTGTGTGGAGGGAAGAGAGACAAGGTGGGGCCCTCAGCAGAGGTCCTGGCTCCAAGGGAGGCACGCTGGAGACCACCTGGGAAGAAAGGTTAGTGCTGGCAGAGGAGAGAGGGGGTGAGCAGAGAATTCACTCCAAGGCCCAGGCCCGACTGAGGGTCCCTCAGGGGGGCACTCCCAGGTCCAGCTCAGAGTGGGCAAGGGAGGGAACCAAGTGCTAGGATAAAGACCCAGCCCGCCCCAGCCAGACCCCCCACCTCCCCTGCCCCGGACCCAGATTTACCTGCAACCATCCCCGGCTCGGGAGGAGGGACCAAGGCAGCGTTGATGTCAGAAAGGTGGGGGGCCCCGCCCCACCCCCCCATTCCCTGAAAAGGAGGAAAACCTCAACTGCATCTCGTTGGCCCCCACTGGCCTGCCCACCCCTACCCCATCATGTCCCAGGGCTACCTACTCCTAGGCTCCCCTGCTGACCCAGTGGCGATCAGGACTCTCATGGTCAGCATGGCCAGACTCCCCTCCTCCTCCCAGAGTGATGACCGTCAGAGGCCCCTCCATCTAGGATGGCTGGGGCCTCCCTCTCAACTCCCTGCTAGCAGAACCCACAGACCGGCCAGAGTGAGGGCTTGCAGTGAATTCTCTGCTTCTGCTTGGCTTGTCACCAAAGCAGATGGCCCCAAGGGAGACAGGAAGGGCTGGGACCTGGTCCTGGCTTGGGAGGCAGCCCAAGGGTCCCCAGGCACAAAGCAGCCAGGAGCATGCCCTGTTTTAGGAGAAGGGGCACCCAGGGCACAGAGGTGGGCAGGGACCAGAAGGATCCTGGCTTGGGCCCTGGGGCTTCACCATCTCCCTGTTCCTGTGCCCTGAGGTGTTGGCCTGTCCCTCCACCTGTTTCCTCTGTGCCAAGGTCTCCCCTCTCCCCAAGCCAGGGGGGCTCCTGCCAGCTGTGTGTGTGAGGGGGGCGGTGGGAGGTCTCAGAACATGACCTGGTCAGAAGGGTGTGGAGGAGGAAAGTGTGGTTAGAGGTTACCCTGGGGAAGGGGGAGAAGATGAGAAAGGGCCTGGGGCCTTTGCCAGCAAGGACCCCTCCCTAGCACCAAGCTCCCAACACCTCCTTTTCCCTCCCCACCTCTTGAAGAGAAAAGATCCAGGGCTGCATATCCAAACCACCACCGGACCTGCAAGAAGAGTGTCTGGTGCTGGGTGGGAGAGACCCCAGGAGAGAGACTCAGAGTGGCAGGGTGTTTGGGGCAGACCATGGGCTGGCTGCCCGGGCCTCTCTGAGATGGGGGAGGGCGACAGCGGGGCGGGGAGCAGCTTGGAGGGACCCACTCCACCCCCCTCAAATGGGAGGCTCCACAGACCACCGTAATTTCACGACAAAAGCTCTACGAAAAGGCATCTCCCCCAGCCCAGCCCCTCCCCTGCTGCCAGCCTCAGAGCTGTCAGTTTCCCAAAACTTTCAGGGGAGAAAGCAACCATCCCCAACTCCTGCCCTCCCCTCTGTGACAGACAGCCCTCTCCACCACAGAGTTCTCCTGCTCCCCCAGCTGAGGTTAAACCCCGGCAAGAAATTACGGTGCTCCTGGAAGTCCCCAGACCTGGCCTATCCTGTCCCCGCCCCCTCTCCCTGGTCCTCTAACCACAACAGCCCAGAAGAAACCCTGACTGCAGCTTCGCAAGTGTTTCAGAACCAGAGAAAAATGCTCCCCCATCCCTCGATCCCCCCACCGCCAGGCCCGCCCCCACCCCCTTACCCCCACATTTGACAGGCTGCCCTCCCAGGGTTGAGGACAGTTCATACCCCTCCCCAGGGGTGGGCCCCCAACTGGCCGAGGTTGGGGGATAGGGGTGGGGGAGACTTGTGCTCTGTGCTCCAAAACAGCTCTAGGCCTTGGAAACCCAAACCAGAAGGCACTTAAGCCCCCAGGAGCTAAGGGACAGGATGGATCTGCTCTCCGAAAGGAAAACAAAGGTGTCCCCTCCATCCCGCCTCCCCCAGCGGGGCATAAGTTACCAAAGTTGGGGCAGGAAGAGAAGAGACGGTTCACCTGGTGCCCCCCTACCCCACCCCCAGTCTGGAACCAGGAAAGGGAGTCCCCACCCACCCAGGATGCTTACAAACTTCTCCTGAAGGAGCAAAAGAAGTATGAGAGAAGGCCAGGTCCCCTAGCAAGGGCCAGGAACTAGGAAGGAGGGACAGGGAAAGACAGAGAGGCAAAGAGAGAGAGAGAGAGAGAAAGAGAGGGAGAGTGAGAGAGAGAGAGAGAGGAAGGTCCTGCCCGCGTACTCAGAGGAGCTTCCTCGGGTGTCTGGACGGTGGAGTCACCCATGGCTGGACCAGGGCTGGCCCCACTGGGAGGACACCTGGGGCGGGAGCTATCAACTGGACCCAGTGGGGGTGGGAGAAGAAGGGGCCAGGAGGGGAGGGCGGTCACATAAGTACGGTACAGGTAAAACAAAGTGTGAGTTAGGGGTTAGCATTGGTAACAGTGCGTTTACCTTTCTGCTCCACTTCTACTTTAAGC